CTGTTCAATTTATGTGGGACACTCTCTTGAATTTTGTGGGTGAAGGTCGGACATGCAAGACTTTCTTCCAACGACGTAACACAGGAATGTCCGCAACATTTGCAGAGATCAGAGAGTGACACAACACGGCCCGGGCACAAACGCTGTTACAAACAATGTCCTGCGCACCCGTCTGCGACCACAGTCGTTCAGTGCCACTTGGGAGTTAAGGGGCACCCGGCACCGACAGGTCACACGCCAGAGAGGACGGCAGCACGCCAGCCCATACGTCATGCCAGCGGCACGCCCACCGCTCCACTCACCCGTATTTGCAGCCGTCTCTTTATCACCGGCTCAGTCACCTAGCACGGTGGACTGCACTCACAGCGCCGACTGAACAGGCACGTCCGCTCGCAAGACCAGAGACACCCCGCGGGACGCTCGAGGGCGGTCGGCACCGCGCTGTCTCGGCGCGGTGTGTACGGGGTCTGGCGCGGAGCGCGGCCGCCAGCGGAGCGGGCGCCAGCTCTAGCCCAGCCAATACGGAGCGTGCCGGCCCGGCCGCGCCTGACCTGCCGTTCAACCTTGAGCTCGGAGTCGCCGGATGGCCGCGCCACCGCCGGCCGGGTTGAGGCGCGGCCCACAACAGGCGGCACTATCACAAGGCGCGCCAACAGAAACACGGCGCCAAACGCCGCGTCCCCCGCCCACCCCGGAATGCGGACGGTGGCGGAGCGCGGCTCGCTCCAGGTCGGAAGTCGTTTGGGAGCCAGCCGGTCGGGCCGGACGCCAAGCCTGCCGGCTGACCTTTGCCGCCGGCGCCGTATTGATCTGAGCCGTCGTCTGGCGGAAACCGGGACGTCGTTGCTGCTGTGCTCCTTATGCAAGTCGGGATGGGGATGCCGCGCGGCGAGCTGGGGGTGCGGGGGAGGCAAGGTCACGGCGCCCCGGCCATAAAGTTTCCCGGAGACCACCGCAGCGGGGAGGGGGCGGGGTGGCGACTATCGGCCGACGGGACTGCGTCTGCATGCGCGGCGGGCAGCTGCAAGAAGTCACAACCGCAGTTGACATTGCGGGCTGCTGGACAGCTCGCAGTCAGGTCGCTGTGTCGGTGGACGCTCACCTGAGCCGCTGGCGAGGCGTCCCGGCCGGCGTCGGTCGCGCCCGGACCCGCCCGGTACCGGCGCGTCGGCTCCCCTCCCGGCCCGCACCGCGCGCGCCGACTGCACCGCGCGCGCCGACTGTCAGCCAGGCCACGAGGGCAGCTTCTGTTCACTCCCGACGACTGGATCCCGGCGCTGCCACCGACTGCAGTGGGAAACACAGGTAGCTCTGATGATGCTCTGATGATAGCTGATGATGAGCAGGTGATGCCACAAGCACTGGCCTCCCATTGTCAAGGCAACATAACAGCAAAAGCATAGAGGATTGCCAGTCAACACACCAGCCCTGGTTCACATATTTATCTTGTGCTGGCAGATATGCTTAATATACATTGTGGACTACAGGACAATCATGTAATGTACACAATGGTTCTGTGATTGTTGGAAAGGTGGCAGGGGAGACCACAGAGTGAGATACAAAATCTGGCCTGATATAACATGAGATATGATGACCACTAATGACTGCACTTAACCCATGAAAGGGGGCAGCGATCCTATTGACCGTATGGTCCAATTAGCTGCAAACCTGATCACAATACATGAAAACACCCATGGAATGGAACAATCACAATCCTGCTCATAGTCATGGACCAGACTACAATCACTGACATGACCATGCCCACAGGCAACATTGCATTCATGGGGGCCAGATAACACTCCTAGACTAGACTTCAGTAGTAGACAACAGTCACAGACCTAACCTCTGGCACCTGCCGTGCTATACTACCAATTACAAAGTGTCACTGAGGCTGCTTAAGACCACTGATAAACATCTGAAGTGTGCCCAGATAAGAAATGAAACAGTTTGCCCAGATCGCTTGGTACAGAGCACTGCTTCGGTGCTAGTCACACCTTTTGCCCTCCCCATTTTCAAGCCAGATGACATGTGGGCAACAGGGCATATACCTGCCTGATCACTGATGCGTGCAGATGCAGATGCATATGGCTGCACTGCAGAGACTCATGTACACACCTTAGAGAATGGATGCCTCTGTGAGGGCAGTATATACCTGATTAGTTAGAAATATACTGTGAATTATGGTTGTCATGGGAAAATATTAAGTATGTTCAAGACAACCTTATCATTTTCTCACATCACTAATTGAGCAAGATGTTCATAAAGATTATTTATATGGTATTCAAGGAAATCATCATGAACATTTGTTGTAAACTATGCCAAAATATGATGAAAGTGATGATCATGTTCATAATAATTCAAAGCTGGCCATCACAGAAGATTGAACAAAATTAACAGAGACCATTACATGCTATGCCGCAGTGGGAAAGATATTCCTGAGCATGTGTTTCTTGCCAAAATTATTCACCTTTGCAAAACTGTGCAATAGGTACCATGGAAAGACAGCATCATATGGCATGGGGCAGGTCCCTGCACGACATTCCACGTGGTATACACAACATAACCATGGCAGCAAACCAACTGTAAAATATTTGAGACTGACAAACTTACCTAGAGCCTTCTCATATCATGTGTTAGGAACAAGTTTGGGGATGGCACAAAACACACGGGAGTACCCCCTGCGCCTCGCACCCAACCCCACCGCGACCCACTCGCGCACCGTCCACTAGAACGACTCGGCCCGGCGAGCAGACGTCAGCGACTCGAAACTTCACCAGGTTTACTTTCTGTGGAGGCAGCACACTTTTGACATCACTGGTGAAATGATCAATGGGGTTCGATGTGCTCCCCACCTATTTTGAACAGCCTATGATGGACCTAAGTGCTGCAGAAAAGTAACCAGCTCGGCTAGTCAGTGAATGGTAGCAGAAAAGCATTTCTACGAACTCCAAAATTAATAGTCTGACAAAAATCTAGCGACCACTATAAGAGCCTTTTCGACAGCACAGCAGTCCGCGCCACACAGCCCGAAATATGCTTTCTTGTCGTATCTCCGCTGACGAGATCCGAGATACTCTTAGTGCTGAGCAATATAAATCAAAACAACACAACATTCTGGGAGAATGTCGCCGTTTTCGGTTTCAACTTTGGATCCATTGCTGTTCCCGAGGAGTCCTCGCCGGGCGAGCACCTTCACCAGTGACGTAACGTAGGAAAGCGCACAAAATGCTATTTTGGGGAGCGTCAATGCCAAGGCTGGTTAATGCCCAGATCGAAAGCCGCGTCACATTCCCTTACTTCATACTTGGCTTGTACGAGTTATATGTTCGAGGCTTGGGTAATGTGGGACGGTGCGTTTGGTGGTGGGTTTAGTTCAGTTCTATTTTTCTCATTTCCGGGGTTTCTCGACCCCGGGGTGAATGCGTTATTTGCATAGGCGTTCGCTGTGCATCGCCCACTCTGTTCTTTCTGCACTCGTGACTTCTATTCCAAACATTTCAAACGAGGGTGATCTGTGTTGAGTGTGCGCGTGTATGACAAATAATAGTAGGAGTATTATGTCGTTCATGGCGTGCGCGCGCGCGCGCGCGTGTGTGTGTGTGTGTGTGTGTGTGTCTGCCATGCCTATGTGAATGCATAATCAGAGGTCTTGACCTGTGATAGGCTGTTGGCCATCCAAATTAATTGGTCTGTTCAGACAGGGAGGGAAATACCATAACATCAGGTAAAATCAAGCAGTGTTCTAAGATCATGTTATATGGCACTTGAGGTTTAAAACATGAAGGATGTGTTTGTATGCTAGATTTAAGACCGACATTGTCACTCTGCCAGTGATACTTTGCTGTGGTGACACTGATGCTATGGCACATATGTATCTGAGCCTGATAAGGTTGAGTGTCAATTTAAATTATGGATACAGGCAGACTTCATGGTTGTGTGGAAGTCCTTAGCATGTGAAGAAAAGACACTTGGTGATATACAGGGGAGCTTGGAAGAAGACCAAAAATAATTTATTATTCTGATTTGCACTCTCATGGTAATTGCAATCAGGGGTACACCAGAATTTGGTGCCTTACATATAGCAATCTGGACTGCTGCTTCATTGAGATAAACTTGATTACTAAATGCCATACTCATAAGGTGGCTTTGGAAGGAAAATAATTTGCAAGACTTACTTGATACATTGCTTATCCTGATTATTATGTGGTAATATTTTTCCCAATATGTGCAACATAATAAGCAAGATAATAACATTTTAAGCTACCACAAATGGCAAGCAAATTGAATGATGATGTGTTCTGTTAAAACACAGGGCAACAGGAAGGAAATTTGACTAAAGTATTGAAGGAATTGGGTTGAAAAATGTCATCAACTAGTCTGATCAGGCTAGCCAAGGTGCAGGGTTGTAATTTTTGTAGAGAATTCACCTTGCCATATTATCTTGAGATTCAACAGACTGGGGGTATTGGTCCCCTGGTCCAATAGCATCTGTGTCATTTGATTCAGTAATAGTGGTTTTCTTTTGGATATATATATATATATATATATATTATATATATATATATGTATATATATATATATATATATATATATATATATATATATATATATATATATATATATATATATATATATGCAGCATCTTCATTTGCACCTGCCAATAAGATCAATGTTGAGGCCTTACTTGGATTTCAATAAGAAGCATAATTTAGATACTTAGCATAAGGCTGAATCAAACTAGTGGGAAGTGATAAGCACACACTTTGGTGGATATATCTGGTAAACTGCTCAGATATGTCTTAGTATCACATACCCATGGGCACTAAATTCCAATAGAGGACATTTATGCCAGTGAATAAATTGCAGGTTAACAACTAATCAAGCGCTGATGTGTTCCAGATACCAAACGAAATTAAAGTGTGGCCCCAGCTGCCAACTGATTGACCCATGCGTGTGTGTCCTGACTTTGCTAGCTAACAGCTGTGGTGACTTTTCTTCTAGGAACTGCAGAAGCTTCTTGAGGAGCCGGATGTCTGTTTATGCAGTCAATTGCAAGACCACTTCACTGGGTCCAGATGAGAGGTGCAGGATGGAGAAGGAAATCAAGAAGCTGAAGGTGAATTGGGTCCTTGACTCCAGACATCAGACAAGTGCTGCAGATTGGCATCATATCACTCAGCATTGTCCTTTATTTTCCCCAGTGGAAATTACTTCTTGGTATGCTGGTCTACTAAGGTGCTTAATGTCCTGCTTTTATGGTGTTCCATCAAATACAGGCTTAAAGTAAAGAATATATCAAGTTCTGTATAGATGTAGACTTCATGTACAATATGCCCTATTTTCTATTACAGGAGATGCTCTCCATTCACTTGGACCTGATTCAGCATCAGGCTGACCAAGCTGCCTCTCGGGAGACCCAGGTCAAGGCTCTCAGGCGGGAAAATGACAGGGTAAGTTTGGGATGTGATTTAAAAGTGCTCTGGTAGCATTTGCATGCATTTATAGCACAAGCAGTGTGGGGAAATAGAAGAATCATCTTTTTCAGATATATTTCACAGATACACCTGATGTTTCTGACACAAAACTGCTGTACTGGCACTGTACAAGCTCAAGAGGTGTAAGACCTGACGATCTGAACATATCATATGCAGCTGTCTCAGACCTGACCTGACCTGAACTTACCTGACCCTGCTCGGCAGCTGCTGCAGAAGGTGGAGCGGATGGAGCGGCGTCTGTCGGTGCCAGCCCGCTCGCCGGCCGGCGCGGCCTCTGCGCCGCCGGCCGCCGCCGCGCTGGTCGACTCGGCCACCTCGCCGCCTCGTCCGGCCGGCCGCAGCAGCCGCGAGACGCAGACGAGCGGCGACGAGGGCGGCGGCTCGCCTCCGCGCCGTGCCGGCCGCGGCCGCGGCCGGCCCTCGCCCGGACCCGAGCCGCCGGCGCCGGGCCCCACCGATGCCGTCGGCGCCACGCGGCTCGGCGAGCCCGCCGACGCGGAGGAGCGGCGGGCGGAGGCCGTGCGCCCGGCCAGGCGGGAGAGCGCCGGGTGGCCCGAGTCCGGCTGGCCGGAGGCGCCGGCTGATGGCGGCCGGCCGGAGACGCGGCCGGATGCCGAGCGACCGGAACGGCAGAGGAACGCCAGCCGGCCGGAGCGGCAGAGGAACGCCTCGCGCTCCGAGCGGCAGGCGGGGGCCGGTCGGCCCGAGGCGCAGGCCTACGCCGGCGGCCCAGAGTCCAGCTCCGAGTTCACCCCGTCGGCGGAGAGTCGCCGCCTGCAGGCCAAGCTCTGCAGCAAAGGTGGGTCGGAAGTGCCTACCAGCAAAGGACTGCCGAGCACGAGTGACAAACACGAGTGACATTAGTCATGATGGTTTTACCATCCAGTTGATTGTGTTGATATACTTTGCAAGAGGTGGCAATGCCTTTTGATCTCACTATAGCAAATTGAATGTATTCTTTGAATGCTTCATCGATTTTGTTCAGTTTATTCAGCGCAGTGCTGTGCTTTTCCATGGTATGGTTACGCTACACGATTCGTGAGATACGATGCAGTTGACATCCGTGCAGCGTACGCCATTGAGATCCGCTTCCGTCTGGTGGCCATCGATAAGATAATGTTTGTTGACGAGATAATATTCAAAAGGGGCTTAGATGCCGTGTGGTGCGGCCCGACCGCGCGTCGAGACTCTCCCGGTGCCGGGTTGGCGGCGGCGAGCTGTAGTCTTGGGGGCGAATGCAGCCCTGAGCCGCGTGTACCCGGTCCAGCGCCGCCGGCCCCTGTCGCCCGCGCGGCCGCGGCGCGCGGCCGTCTCTGCCCCGCTGACGGAACGTCCGGCCGACAGGCGACGAGGCTGTGCGCCACCGCAAGTGCATGCTGACCGAGACCGAGTACTACCAGTACCTGCCGGCCGAGCCGCCCGACTCGGACGTCGAGGACGGCTCGGCCGCCGGCCGCCAGACCCACATCGAGGTCAGATTACGCCCGGTCCGGGTGGTGTTGGTGTGTGGGGGAGGGGCAGCAGGTGGCGAGGACGCAGTATGCCGCGCCGCAAGGGTCGGAGGACCCACGCGGCAGAGGTGGCGTGCGGGCGGGACGTCCTGTCGGCTCACAGTACGACACGGCAGGGCTTCTCTGATTTAGCCTCTCCAGATTGTGGAGCTAGCGAATTTCACGGTGTCTGCGGTAATAAGGCACGGCTCCCCTCAGTGTGGATTGGTTTCGCGCCGCCCATATCAGTCGCTGTGCTTACCTTGAGGGGTTAAAAAGGGAGGCAAGTCGGGTCAACGGCACTGCGAATGCGCTTTGTCCTTAAGCGCCATTCAGCAGCTATTCGTCACCCCGTTGGTGTGGCGCACGGCATGTGCGTAATGTCCGCCACCGGTTCTGACATGCCCCGAGGGCGACCTCCCGGCCGGCGCCGGTGGGATCATGGAGTCTGCGTCAAATGTAGCTGCCGACGGAGGGGCGGGTGGGGCCGCCCGGGCTCGGACCGGTGCGGGTGGATAGCGGAGCGTGGTACCGGGGCCCGCCGTCTGACTCCGCCGGCTAACCCCGGGCCCGCCGTCTGACTCCGCCGGCTAACCTCGGGCCCGCTGGCTGACTCCGCCGGCTAACCTCGGGCCCGCTGGCTGACTCCGCCGGCTAACCTCGGGCCCGCTGGCTGACTCCGCCGGCTAACCTCGGGCCCGCTGGCTGACTCCGCCGGCTAACCTCGGGCCCGCTGGCTGACTCCGCCGGCTAACCTCGGGCCCGCCGTCTGACTCCGCCGGCTAACCTCGGGCCCGCTGGCTGACTCCGCCGGTGACCGGTCTGCCGCCGCCCGTCGGCAGATCCCCAGCTGGACCATCAGCCAGCTGAGTCCGCTGCACAGCGCCGACGGCACCGAAAACCTGGACGACCTCGTGTTCGCCAAGCGTCACCTCAAGCACGAGATTGACGAGAAACGCCGCAAGCGGTAAGCACCGGCCTCAGCCCGCCCTCGGCGACTGTAAGCACCGGTCTCTGCCCGCCCCCGGCGACTGTAAGCACCGGTCTCTGCCCGACCTCGGCGACTGTAAGCACCGGTCTCTGCCCGCCCTCGGCGACTGTAAGCACCGGTCTCTGCCCGCCCTCGGCGACTGCAAGCACCGGTCTCTGCCCGACCTCGGCGACTGTAAGCACCGGTCTCTGCCAGCCCTTGGCGACTGTAAGCACGGGTCTCTGCCCGCCCCCGGCGACTGGAAGCACCGGTCTCTGCCCGACCTTGGCGACTGTAAGCACCGGTCTCTGCCTGCCTTCGGCGACTGTCACGTCTTCACTGTGCCGCCAGCAGTGCGGCGCAACGGTGTGCTGCATGTGCTGAGTGACTATGTAACAACTTACCCTGCATGAGCTTAGCCAAGGGTACACTGTTCAAACTGTGTGGCTGAGTTTTCCCCGATGCTGCGACTGCAGCGCACATATGCACCATGACTCTGCCTTCCATGGTGAACTCGCGCTCTTCACCACTCGCCCACAGGGGGAGGATGGGGGAAGGGGGGGGGGGCGAAGCAAAGTAAGTTGGTAGGGTGTTGAGGGATTGGGCGGCGTAGCGTTACGCTCAGGTGTGGTTGAAAGTCATGTACATTTTTTGAAAGTATTTTTAAACCTTAGATCCGGATGCCGTTTGGCCCCCCTCATTACAGGCAGCGCGTCCGTGACGTCCGTTATTTATTTCCTACATGTAGCTCAAGACGCTAAGCTTAGCATGACCGGGGAGGGGGATAGCATATCCGGGGCGGACCGGTGGTGAGCAATTGCAAAAATGCGCAACCAAATTTATGGGCAACCTCACCCGGCGCGCTCCACGGGGATAGAGCCCAATCCCCGAGTTTGCCCCCCCCCCCCCCCCCCCCCAGTCAACCGTCGTCTGCTCTGACTAACCCTGCCAAGTGCTCGGGAGCCTGCCCAGGCCATGATCTTGACCTTGACGTTACACTTGCCTGAGGATACGCAAGAGTCCAACCTCGATAGCCTTGCAGTGCGCTGCCTGCTTTACGCGTTGAATGCGTACATTTTTTTAAATTTGACCAACAGTTGAGTTTTATTTTAAGCTAACATTTGATATTTTTGCATCCATGACGGCAGAAAATTATCACATTTGTTTTCTATGCATATACGCCCCACGAGAGGTGTCTGATTCCGCTTTGTCTGACTAAACGACGCCCGGCGGACGGCATCGGCGGAGCTCGGCCCCTCTCCTGACGTCCCCCCCTCGCCGCGTCTGATCCCAAGGGGCCCCGGCGGACAGCGTCGCCGGAGCTGGACCCCTCCTCTGACGCGCCCCATCGCCTACCGCCAGGTGGGACCTGCAGCGGCTGCGCGAGCAGCGGCAGTACGAGAAGCTGAAGCAGTCGTACTACCGCGGCCGCGGCGGCCGGGCGGGCGGCGCCGGCGGCGGGGAGAGCGAGGCCGGCCGCCGGCTGACGCTACGACCGCCCGCCGCCGGCGCCCTCTACCTGCAGGTGTCACCCCAGCTGCCGGTCTGTGCATTTGGCTGCAATCTGCCCGTGCTGGCCGACAGGTGAGGGATCCCGGCACCCCGGCCGCGAAACGTCAATGGCCGATGGGGTCGTGCTAATGTGCACGCGGTAAAACGCTGTCGGTGATTCGTGCTGCCGCCAGAAGTTTTCAAATCGTCCCGCTCTATTTTGCCTTTTGCTGTTTTCATGATCTGTGAACCGTTTTCATCACTTCATTCGCTGCTTTTCTTTGACCTCGGCATCCTTACGCTCTAGGACGGAACGTCATTTTCAAGATATCTTCTCTGATGTGGCGAGCATGTTCCTCTGTTTATAATAAACTGCCGTGTTGACGTCGTTCCACACTGGATCCAGACGTCCTGGAGCCACCAACCATGGCACTATCCTCTGTCCGGCAGGGAGTTCCGGCTACCTTGGACTCCGGGCAAGGCGCCGCCGGCTCCAGGCGCCCGCGCTGACTCGCGGGGACGCCGCTAGGCGGCTCCACTGCGCACCTACGTACCCTGTGATCTTTTAGCTGTGCTGGGAAGGGGTGGGTTGGGGTGGGGGCAGTGTTTTGTTGGTTGTCGTCACCTAGCCGGTGTTGGCTGTAGCCTATCTTGGTCGTACTGTTGTCAGTTAAGCGGATGTCGGGGGAGGGGGGGGGGGGGGATGTCTGGGACCGTGGTGAAGTCGTTGCTGTTCCAGATGCGTGGTGTGTTGTGTCGCGTAGCTCGTGCTCCAGCCGCGCCGTCACGCTCAGGGCTCCAGCTTCTGTCCGGTGGCTCGTGGCCGGCGCAGCCCGGCGTCCATGGACGGCGGCTGTCTGTCGTTAAACGTGGTCTGTCTCTCAGGGCCGTCATCCTTCGCGCGGTGGAATGATGAGCATAGTACGGCGCCGCGTCACCCGCGTTGGCCAGTTTTGGGCCTGGCGTGCCATTCTGGCTGCCACCCTCGACGTGGCGACTTATCACTATTGGGGTGTTTATTCTTCACGTGTATTGTCATCATGGTTGCCGTTTTCCAAAGTAGATTCGGGTCGCATTAGTGTTTGGGGCTGTTCCTGGCACTCGCTGTCGATCGGCGTGCTAAAAACATTCATTTCATTATTCGGGGGGGGGGGGGGGGTCTGGGCTATGTGCAGGCTGCAGACCAACACGAGTGTTGATCGATGCTAAGTAGAAGTGTGCAAATGTTCAACGGCGGGCGCTGGTCTCCATGCGAGTAGGCAGCCAGGGGCGCCAACGACGGCCGGCCGCGGCGTCTCGTGACCACGTCTGCCGTCGCGCGCCGGCGCGAGCGGGGAGGAACAGCGTCGGCGGGGCCGACAGGCTCTCGGACGGGTACCCCATCTCCCGGGCCGGGCGCCTCCACCGTCTCCGGTCGGCGAGCGACCTTCACGGCCGTGCGGACCGCGACGGGCTGAGCCTCGTCCAGCTGTCAGTGCCCGAGGGCATGGCCCGTCTCCCGCTGTTCTCAGTGGGGACCGCCGACAGGGGCCCATCTGCTCGGGGTGTGGCGCGCCTGGGTCGGCCTGTGTGCCGGCGCCCCTCCACCGGCGACGCGAAGCGGGAGGCCGTGGCTCTGTTCGCCGTGTAGCATAGGGTGCCACGGCCCCGCCGCATGTATTCTAGATGTGGGCTGCAGCGGGGCGGGTCGCGCCGCTGCGGTGTTGGTGCCGTTAGTCTAGCGCCGGCTGCCGTCTCCACACGAGACCCTGGCCGTCGGCGTACGTGTGTCAGTCGTGATCGTAGACCGTTCTCATCTCCCGTGTATCATACACATCTCACTGTGGCGTCGTTCGCCGGCTGCTGGCCCAGGCACGATCGTTGTTGCGTTACCCGTGCAGTTATTCTGTTACGAAATATCATATGAAGCGAGACTTCGCGTTTGACTCCCAGTGGAGAAGAGAAGTGTCAGGAACGGTTGGAAACCGGCATCGCCATAAACAGTGGGTGTTCCGGCCAGGTAACCCCCTCCGCTCCCGCGCGGGATGTACTCTCATTCGCTGATTGACTGTTGCATAGAGTGTGTGTTGCAGATCAAAATGTTTCCGAGAATATGGGATCATCCCAGACGACAAGTGACCCTAGTTGCTTTTAAATTCAACCCTCACATCAGCGTAGGATCGGTGTTTTCAATTCCATGAGCAGGCTGTGTGCCACTCCACTCGCTCGCCTTCCCCTTTCCCTTTTCCTGGGCGTCGTGTAAGGGAGGCCGGGTTAAGAAAAGGTAAAATGTTGTTGTCCAAAAAGATTGAAGTAGTTATGCCATGAAGCATCTTTCCAGTCGCACCGGGTATGGAGCAAGTTGAATGCACTACTGCTGTTGAGCCGTGTCTCAGCCGGCCCCGGTGGTGTAACCGCACATCCAAGCTTTGTGGAGTCAACTTTTGTGATTGGTGTTTTGCGCGACAAAGACACGAACAGGCCGGTCTCGCCGAACGTTGCTAAGGTCCAGCCCCCCGGCCCTAGTAATGATTACTGACATGGCTGACACGTTACACATAGGTTATCAACGTGACCTCAACATTACGGTACGGTGTAAAGGACTCATATTCCGGTGCGCATCTACAACGGGCTCGTCTCAAGGCTGCAAGGGTCTGCCCGAGTTTGTAACAGGTAAAGGCTGCATTTTAAGGGACCGGGACGCACGTCATCGGACACCCTTTTTATGGACCACCAGTTACATTGTTGCAGCATAAGAACTGATTCCGTGGCGAAAATGAAGGTCCCTCATGAGTCAGCAGAACATGAAGGAAATTCGTACGTAATTCGCGATGAAAGTGTTTCTCGGTCGGCTTTTAACGTCCGGGATTTTGTAGCGACAGTTTTCGTAGGGAACAATGCGGGTGGCTCCCAAATCACCCTACATAATCAAAAAGCTGATGTCAGGGGCGGAGCCAGGATTGCCTGAAGAGGGGCAGGGGAGTGCAGAACATGCGTCGGCCACAGTGCGGAGCGGTGTGTCGATTCCGGCTGAGACTGTCAGCAATAGTTGTAAAGTAATATGACGGCCTCACGCATACGCGAGCCAATGCAATTCGCGCGTGTCCATGAATCGGGGTGCTTCGTGACGTGATCTTCCAGGTAGGACAAAAGATGATGGTCTTTTCGAGGTGGTTGGTGACGTGTGTCTTTTTTACCCATCACGGGTCAGTGGATTGGAATATTGAGCTACATAGATTAAGTATTAGAGCACCTGTAATGCGTGTCGTGTGAATACAGTACATTTTTCAGTTCCTTCGTGCGTAATGCCGGAGCTGCTTGCTGATGAACGCAGATCCCCCTTTCACTGCACTGCAATTACTGGGTCGCACGCGTGGAGCAACAGCAGCAATGAGAAGCATCTGCGTACACGACTGATGGCCGAGTTGCTGGATTTAATTCAGGAGCACGAGAGCGCTTCATGGAAAAAAACATAGGAGGACCCCAGTTAAAACACATCAATATAATTTTAACCTTCTTGTCGGGAGCCATTTTCGATGTCAATGTAACAATGCGAGCCTGATTTCCCCCGACCATCCCCTTGGTGGTACCTCTGGTGGACTGATGCGAATCGTTATGTAACAGGGGCCTACTTCTTGCCAATAACAACGGCTGTGCACGGCAAATTTCCTACCAAACTGTTACGTGATTTATGGATGACCCAGGAAGCAAAAGTCACAAGAGATAGTTCTGAGAGGTCTAGCAATTTTTCACGCTGAAAATACTCTTACAAATTGCCGGCTGATTTACTTATAATCTTTTAATGTTTTGAAAGCGTAAGAAAGTCATGCAGTCGATGCACCTATCTTTTTCTCGTCAACTCCTGGCCATGGCTGCGTTTTAACAGCAAATCCATTAATTCATTTCCACTAGGTTGACCCCAATCACCGCCACGCTGCCCTTGGTTCAGAAGCGCGCGGCGCCGGTTGTGGTTGTTGTCTGGGGGCCGGTTGCGGAGCACAGAGGACAGGTTTGATAATTCAAGCTTGATTATCAGCCCGATCAGATACAATGGCAGATGTAAGTATTCTGTGGTTATGGGTTGGGGTGTTGTTTGTTGTTGCCGCGACTGATGAGTTGTCGCCCGATTTCGTCATGTGATAGGCCGTGTTTGTAACAGTTGTCCTTTTTTTGTTAGGAATCCAAGCCCGCAGAAGGAGGCGACGCCGGATCTGAGTATATCAAGCTGAAGGTCGTGGGACAGGTACCTATACAATTCAAATAGAAAGGAGTGCTAGGTTGACGGGTACTTGATCGTGTTCGCATATGCGTCGCTATTGTCGTAAATGCCGCGATCGGCATTTCTGTGGAACTGAGTTGTAGTCGATTAATATACCTGAAATTTTTGAGTGCGATGTGTCACCAAAGTGTAAAAGAAATAATTTCTCATTTATTAATGCACTGACTAGCAGTTGAATAGATGTATCCCATCCTATTGAAGATGTCATTGACCATTTCATGTGGAAGGATGTATGGGTGTGCCCCTAGTCTCATACAGTAACAGTATTTCATTGATTTTAGGATTCCAATGAAATACACTTCCGAGTTAAGATGACAACACAAATGGGAAAACTGAAGAAGTCATACAGTGAAAGAGTGGTAAGTGGCTTTAACCATGTGTGAAGCTGTCTAGCATATGTGTTTTGTTCAGCCATCTGGCCACTATCCTTTATCCCCTTTACTTCAAGATCTCTGTTCTCCATCCAGCCCTGCCTATGTCCTGTCATTTCATGATCCCAGTTTCCTTTGCTGTGTCCTGTACTCCAGCTTGCCCTATTTCCTTCCCCACCCAGTCATCTATCCCATTCTTCTTTGTCCAGCTTTGCCATAGCCATTCACACAGGCCTGCCTGGTCCTGCCCTCAGCCATGTATCAGCCCTACTGTCTGTCTACCTTCCCTCTTGTCTTGCCCTCTGGTCACATTCTTGCTCTCTTTGATGCCCTCTGTTCCCTCATATATCATGTGATATGTGCAGTCATTGGTGCAAAATGACTATCATAGTTGGCACCCTAAAATGCCAATCACCATCACCCTGTGAAGTATGCTGGTGTTTTCCATGTGCTGTCTGCTGTGCTGTTTCTGAGTTCTGCTCCAAGACTTATCATCTGTGCTGCCAGCCATGATGTTCTCTGTTCTCTGCCTTTGTCATCTGTCAAGTTCTGCACTACACTACACTATACTGTACTGTTCTGGCCTATTCTCTTCCATCCTGGACACTGCAGACTAGACATGCTCTTGATGTCCTGTATGGATATGATGTCCTGTATGTCCTGTATTAGGCCAAGGGTGTGGCCACATCTGATATTGAGGGACAAATGTGAGCAAAGTGACCTTGGGCACTGGCCCATCCTCAAAGGGAGTGTTCCACACTTGTATGGGGTATTGACCTGAAATAGCCATTTTGAAGACCATTCAGCACAGATCAGGGCCCTGCCTGTCTAAGGCCTGAAGCCCTCTAGTTTATGGCTATGTTCCCCAAAAATGTGTAGACTACTTCATGAAGACTATTTCAATGTCATTCAGGCACACATAACACCATAGCAGTGGGCGCCAAATGACTAGTGCAGTCAGCACTTCTGAAAACGCCAATTAACACCAATGACGCCATAACAACGTCATTCAAATCATGGATCAGGCGCCACTCAAGGTCAAGAAGAATGCTATTGTTCAGCCATTCAGATCTAGCCTCTGTGAGCATGATTTGCAAATATAGTGGGCATCAGTTGGCTCTTAAGGAATGTTGAGCAAGCTCTGCATGCTTCAATGACAAATCATGTTTTATGCAGTATGTTATAAGAAGGTGGACATACTTTCTTCACTTGCTAGTTATACTTGACAATGACTAAGAATAATGCTAACAAAATGATTGAAGATGATGCTATAACCAAGTATGTTAATGCAAACAAACATCCTACACTCACGGATAGATATGCAAGAACATCATGAGAAAGGGCCGAAACACGAGCACATAACCGTTCCAGCACTGCCACAGCCATACCCCGACGAGTTTAGAATACTACAAGCGAGTGCTGGGGTGGTAGCCTTGCACTGTTGTCACACAAGCACACTAACGTCATGCAAACGTCCCATGAAGCATTCAAATCATGATGTATGGGGTGTCGTTTACTTAATAGGGTTATGTTGTCAAGAACAGATTATCACATAGAGGTGTATAGTTAGGTGAATCCATCCCATCATAACTGATGCTTCAATATGTTCAGATGTGTATCATTCCCTTTAAGTTCCTACCATTGTAGTCGTCAAGAATTGGGGCTTTAAGTTTTATGTAGGGGACAACATGGTATGAAATTCGCATTTTTGAATGGAAAGCTCTAGGATTGATAATTTAATGGCTGAAATTTAGGGAGGAGATCTCATCCGGGAAAAGCCAAGGGAAGACATCCCCTACCCTTTATTATACGATGCGGGCCAGACCCCATGGATCAGACTAGGTGGCTTGGCTATGATATTCCTATACTTAGCGGTGGTTGGCCAACCAGCTAGGGTAATTTTGATGTGGTTGGAAGACTTTTGCACCCATCGAAACCATTGCATTTGAACTAAATAGACTTTGTTAGGTCTAGCTTAAACTCGAAACTAAGTGTTTCTCCACCCCAGAAGATAATAATATGTCATGAGTTCTAAGCGTGGTGGAACTCTGGCGGCGGCAGTAAGCGTGAAATTTTGGCCGAGGCAATCGGTCAGATTTATTACGCCATGTAAGGAATGCTATTTTTGGGACTACAGCCGTTGCCGTCCTTCACTCTTTTCTCCCACTGGGAGAGAGTAGAGCTCTCGTTTCGTGTTTATTTGTGAAGGCTGCGTTCAAACTACCCGACGGTCGTTTTCAGGGTGTACCAGTGACGTCACTCCGGTTTCTCTTCGACGGCCGCCGGATCAATGACGACGAGACGCCGAAGGCGCTAGAGATGGAGAACGATGACGTCATCGAGGTGTACCAGGAGCAGACTGGCGGCCGCTGAGGTGCGCTGCGGCCCGCCCCTCTGGCCATTCCCACTGGCCGGCGTCGTGGCCCGGCCCGGCAGGTCACGTGTGTGCTGAGCCGGGCGCCGTCCACGGCCGCGCCCTCCCACGTCGTCATCTCATCATCACTTGCCGCGCGACGCGGTCCGAGCATTGTGAGACGCCCCGACCCAGCGCCTCGCCGCCCCATGTCACCGTAGACGGCGGTGGCTGGCTTTTGTTCGGTATGCAAAGGTAGAATCCTCCACCGATTACTGGGTACGTCCACTGCTATGTCCGGTTAATGAATCCCAAAAGAACTAAACGCATGGTTGGGTCAACTGCTTCCCGCTTGCACTCTGCATCTTGCTTCTGTTGTGGACAGGCGATTGAGACGCTACGTGTTATTCTCTGAGATACTTCGCATGCGACAGCTAATCTGTAATCAGTGTGTTCCGTGTCTGGGAAAAATACTTGGTGTCTTAGAAAATACATTTGTACTATCCATGCTCATCATTCGCTGTGCAGAACGTCGTGTTTTCGGTCGGGACGCCTGATGCCGAAATATGTCCCAACTGAGCTCAAAGCGGTGGTCTAGGAATGGGGGTGGGTGCCCGCCGAACACTAATCAACGCGCCTTGAGCTGCGCAGAGGTGCAACCCAAGGAGTTAAAAAGTAACCCTACGGTTCTGAGCGGAGATTCTATTAGTTGCACGGATGGTTAATAACATGCTCCATTATCCCACGTGTCCAACTACTCATTTAGCACATCGCCGTTCAGATGGCATTTTCGCAACATGTGCCTGGCAGCGGATGCGTTAACAGCCGTCAGAGCTACTGAAGTCACGCCGGCTTGTAGAAGTTAAAATCAACTCGCGGATGCACCGTTTCCTCCATTGCCATACGCCAGAGATCGCGGAGCTGAGCGGTAAGGGATGACAATGCTACGATGCCCAAACAGTTTTAATTATAACTGGACATCTAGTCCCGAGGTGCATAAGTCGGAGGAGGAAGTACGGGTCGACGAGGTCATCTAGTGCTATAATCTTTTGTAAGATTCTGGGATGGAAGCCCGGTCCCCACGCCACCGTGCCCTTTAAGAGACAAGGGCCGACTTCCTCTTTATATAACGACTGGAGGTCATCCAGTCGCCCACACCGCCTCTTACTGTCGTTGGTTTGTCCGTCGCGTTGTCGGTTGTGTCTTGCCAGCTGCCTTAGAATGTTATTTGAGCGGAACGAGGTCAAGTAGGCGCTGCTACCACCTCAGCAGAATCATGGGCCATTTCATTTACAACCAGCCCGATGCGCTCAAGCACCCGGACAGTCGCGCGCTTTCCGGCCCACTTAAGAGCCACCACTTGTCGGAAGATATGACCAAGCCAGGCATTTCTCCTTTCATTTTTCTCAGGACAGCAAGCCTTACAAAAACTGCTCCGCCAATTTCTCTGTACCGTAACGCCTCAGTAATTACATTAGGTCCGACAGTTAAAGTTGAGCAATAGTGGGACGGCGTAAAACCCTTCCAATCGCTACAAATGGCACCACATCCTGCACCTCTCTAATTTGGAGCCATCCGTTGACATTTGCACGTACGTCTGGCATTCGCGTGCGTGCAATGAAGGAACCGATATCAGACTTCCGCGGTCATGCACCTTTTGTCCGACGTACATGGATCTCGGTCACATGCAATTTCCAGAAGCCTCTGATGTGCGCATGATGTGCTTCTCAATGTCTCATCATCCTTTGCATAAAGCGCCTTTTAAGACCCTTTTAAAGTATAAAACCCTCTGATTTTGAACTTGACGTCTGCGAGCTTGTGCAAAGTACTTCAAGGTCACCCAGGCATGCATGATGCCACAGGAACGTTACGCGAATATTGACGTCTTCATTGGCCATGTGGTGCTCAATGCCAAGACAGATATCATCATCTAGTTTTTGGTGTCTAGGGCATGTCCGCACAATTTCTGGCACCAGCGAGCTTCATTTGGCTCTCAACCAATGTAATTCGTTCGGCGAAAGTTTTGAATACCCTGTGCCCCTCAAGCCCTGTGCTACGTAGTACAGAAGTTAGGCAATGGTACGAGTTATGACAGGAATCGGGCGTGGATTCGAATAGGTTGAAGGGGTTGTCCCAGCTTTTCGTTCTTCACTTATCGTTATGAGATGCGTACGACTTGGTCAGTGATACAAGTTTTCTCGAAATGCTGCAGAATAGCTCAGCATTTCGGTTTGAAGTAGCGGGCCCTGCGGAAGGCATTTCATTCGATTCCCTACGCACCACAATGAAAGCAGCACATTTATCTTGCTAAATAGCAGCACATTTCTCTTGACTTTTCCAACGCGTGTGTTCTAAAACGTCCGCAACACGCTACTGTCTTACTTTTTATTTATAAAATAAGTCCTACTAAAGCTGGAAACACTGGTGAAGTGCTTTTGAACATTAAGTCATTGTCCCGTATATTCAACGGAACGTTATGCTATAGCTTTGGTTTCTTCCCTATGGTGTGTATCACAATTACTCTTTTCGAGGCGCACTTTGGCTTTGGGAATGGAAGTATCACATGATCCAGGTGACCATATATATATATATATATATATATATATATATATATATATATATATATATATATATATTGGCATTATATAGTGTGCATATATAGTGTGCATATATATATATACATATATATATATATATATATATATATATATATATATATATATATATATATATATATATATATGCATGTGACACAGGCCCTTGTCCGCTGAACCAATCACAAACGTTATTTTACTCGCACCAGTATGGGTGCGCACGGTGCTCATCACGACGGTGATCGCGGCCGCTGGGAAGAGGCGCAGTGCTGTTAAAAATGTGGGCTGCGTAATTTCGACTGCGAAAATAATTAAAAATCAATATCCTTGTAATACATTGACGGTGCATGAGTGGCACTACCCATTATTGGACGTAGTTAGTCCTGAGGCCTCAGCAGAATGTCTTTGAAATGTACCCCAGAGGCGGGACGCTCAGTACCATAACCGAGCATGTGGATGCAAAGAAACAATATAAAACCACGGAGAACTATGCAAGACCACCAAGAGAAAGGGCCAAAACATGCACGCTTCACGATTCTCGGGGATCTGCTAACAACGCACCAACTGACACGACGCCCCTCGAAAAGTGAGCTGAGTGATTCAAGTGAGCACCACGAGCCACTTCAATCAAGGTAGCCCGCCGCCCCGGTGGTAGTTTCGCCCGACCATCTTGGCAGCCATGCTGACGTCATTCAAAGATTCCATGACGCCATCAAACGATGACGTAACGAGGCGCATGTTTCCGATATACCGAGGCTTTTTTGCCTTGAACAATCTTGTACTTAAAGTCATACCAGTAGTTACCAGTGAGCTTATTCCATCAGATATGATGCTTGCCCCAATATCTTCAAATGTGAAACACTCCTCTACCGCTCCAATCGTCTAGCAGCCGCAGCCCCGGCGTGATGCCGACATTTGTACTTTTACCGCGGCAGCGTTTTAGTCGATATGATTAACGCACGGTCACGGTCGAAGCTAAAAGCAGGCGTGGAAGGCTCGTGTTTTCTTAGGATTTGTTGGGGCTGAATGCCTGGCAGAATCCTAATATTCACTCGCTCTGGCAAAAAGAAACCAATCCATCAGTTGTTGGAGGACAATTCTTAAAACAAAACGTGTGACGTCATTGATCAGATGGTCAGCTCACATGAGTATGCTCCGTTTGAGTACTGCGCCAGTTTCACTGACATTCTGTATTTTGGAATTGCTCAGCGGAAAGGGGCACGGCTTTTCCCGCTGGTCGTTCTGGTCAGAGGCGTGGTGGTCCGCGTGAGGCATGGGTTGGACTTAGCTGAAAGCCTATGGCATGTCCATGTGTCTTTAAAACTTAGTAATGTCCTCGTGTCATCTCCGATGTGAAGTCAGCGTTGTCACTTACAGAAGCGCGCTGGCGATTTGAATATGCTGTTGATGGGACGATAGTGTGCTGATATGACCTGATTAATTTGAACATTTTAGGGTCCAACATTGTGTCACAGGTACCACATAGGTCACATAGGTCTTCAAGCGATCCATCTACTGTGCCATACACTGAAGTGATAGTGATGTGATGAGCCTGGTGTGTGCATACCAGACTGGTCCATCAAAATCAGCCCGAGCCTTTGAAAAGGCTTTTGCTTAAAAATAATATGTTTAGGCACAGTTTGGGTGCAATAACCTCAACACTTGTAATTCTGTGGAATAATTTATCAAATTTTGTTGGAGGCATTACACTAGGCTTTACTGTGTGCATTTGCTGATATTTTTGGTTCAATTCTGCTGTAAAATTGAGTATGTGTGATATATGCATTGTTTTCAGTCCTTAAAGACTCCATGAATTTTGCAACCTTGCAATTATCAGGGTGTCTAAATATTCACAACTAATGGATGGGTTCATTAAAAGTGATTTGTATGATTAAGCAAGCCGGACAGCAGCATCATCACCAACCATTTGATAGCTGTGGCCAATCATTGAGGAGCAACTCCAACCTTCTGACTTGGTATGACCAAGTTATTATTTAGGTGTACCCACTGAGGTCATATAAACCAGCCAGGCATCAGGATCATTTGCTTCCACCATTGTAATTCATGCATTGTAATTCATTCATGGGAGCACAGCAAAACCTCCAAGCCTCATTCATAGGAGTGGTCTGCTATGAGTCATGTAGTCAAAAATGAGGTTTCTTCATATTTTGGTTCATTGAAACAGCATACCTGGCAACTGGTTCATGGCACACAGTACTAGCAGTAATCACCAGCAGCAGGATATGCTATCTTTCTGTGGACATGAGATTGATTGAGGTTGACATGAGCCATAAGATGATTGCCCACTGCTGGTGGCTACTGCCTTTGCAACATGTTCAAGGATGGGAAGTGTTGTGGTGATATCCATTGCCTAATTAAGCTATTTTCCTAAGCTCTGCTCATTAGACCCCAACATTTAATCACTCAAATTATTTGAGTTGTTCATAGTTATATATAGGTGATTATTTCAGTCAAACATAAACTGACATCTATAGTGTAGCATCACCATCATATTGAAAAAAAATAATCCAAGCCTTGTAAATGGATGGATTTCTGGGATCACAGGCAATGCTAAGCAGTGCCTGTTGTGTGAGCCCTGACCCCTACTGTCTGATCACAGTATTCCAGGGCAAGAGCATATTTTGATGGTGAAAGCTTAACATGACACAATGTTGCAGGATCCTTCCTGCCCCAGATATCAACTGACCTTTTATGACCTTAAGGTGTGGCCACCAGCTGCAGGCCATACCTATCAAGAGCAAAGAGTGAGTGCCTTAAGCAACTTGATCCCACCCTGCCACCAGCAGGTGGATCAGGGAGCAGGTGCTGTATCCAAATGAGCCTTCATAACAGATTGTGCCCTTACATGATCTGTCTGTGTCTGTAGTGAATCAAAAGGGGAGGGGTGATATGAAATCACTAATCCACCAAAACAGAACAAATTGAGGCTGCTTTTCAAGGCTTCCAGACTACTTGCAGGCAACATTTGGGATATGCAGGCTCCAGATAAGACATGCAAACCTAGATGTGTTCACATGGTTTTGGGGGACCAAATAAGTTGGAATTTGCAGGGTGTATTATTTAATGCAAGAAGCAATACAGCACCAGCTATTAGTTTTTGCCAAAGTTTTAGTTTCACTTTGAATTGCACTAACAATTAACAAGACTCATGATGTATGAAATAGGAGTTGAAGCTATTGTCCAGACTTCATAACTGTAATTCAGTTGTTAAGTTTATTGTTGGAATCAATAAAGAACACCTTCCGTTTCTCACCACAGGTACTGCTCATTTTCAGACCATGCATCTAACCAAGTGGATTATGATCAAACTGTAAGGGCATTCAGTTGCAAACATATGTAACCATGTCTGGTGAGCAGTACAAAGGATTGGTAAAGCTGTCTGACCACAGTCAACAAACACTGATCAAGAAATGTCGAATCCATGATGTGTATGAAGTGGAACATGCACCTTTTGCAAGGTAATTGAGAAAAGTTTTGATTTGTGTTTCAATGATGTATTGCATGCTTATGCTCCACCTCTTGTGAGAGCTTATGATCTTAAATGCAATACATTGGTCTTTCTCAGTATTAACATCAAATCAGCATAATATTTTCATAGAATTTTTCACATTGGATGGTATGTGTGTTGAATATCTGTGAGCCATTGCCACTACATAAGTAAGAGATGTGCTGTAGTTCAAACTTCTTGCAGGGTGACATTGAAGTCCTCTAGCTGTGTGGCCTGGCCATCTTCATGTCTGCCAGGATCTACCCCATGCTAGGACACCCTCCCTGGAGATGACAATCTGTCTGCCGCCAAGTTCCACCAAAAGCTCTGCCTGGTCCACTCAAGCCAGAAGCACCAGCTGGCCTGGCCTGAAATCTCTGCCTTGCAGTCCCTGCCCTGGAGCCACTTGGAATCCTCCACTGGCCAGGAATCCCTGCCCAGACCACTGACCCCATGCTCCTGGTACAGGGGCAAGTTCGCGACCGTGCGCAAGTCGACGCACCGCGTGTCGGGCGTCACGTTCGCCGCCAAGTTCGTACGGCGGCGGCGGCGCGCCTCCGAGGTGCTGCACGAGATCCTGCACGAGGTGGCCATCCTGGAGCTGGCGCGCGCCGCCGCTGGCCAGCCGGGCAGCGAGCGCATCGTGCGCCTGCACGAGGTGTTCGAGACGCCCACCGAGACGGCGCTCGTGCTCGAGATGTGAGTCGGCAGCGATCAGCTCGGATGACGTCACGGCCGAGGAGAACGGGCCGGCCAGGTGTCGGGTGTTGACTGCCTGAACGCATGCATGAACGGACAGTATCCAGGTGCAGCATCCACTGCAGCTGACCACAGCGTGCTCTTGCGGCCAGCTGAGTTGTGTCACGGTATTGGCCGCATGCTGTACGGGAGCCCTCCACAGCTGCAAAATTACTTATTTGGACTATTTTTGGCAGGGATGTGGTTTCGTAAAATTAGTAGTTCTGGGGAGTTTGAAAAATTGCTCGTGTTATCCCAACAAGGCACAAAAACAAGACTTGATGAACTTGGCTCACTTTCTTAAAGTTTTGTGGCATTGTGCCCCCTGCTCTCCTCCCGCTGAGTAAGACACTACACCTCCATTGCCTGGCTTGCGCTGTGTGCCTTGCCGTCCTCGCGTGTGCGCACTGTCCGCCGGAGCTCACTGGTGAGTGCCGATGGGCTCAAAACTGGCGTCTTCCCGTGCTGCCGTCCACCGCGTATTGAGCGGGGCCGCGACTGCGGTATAGTGGCGCCGGTCGGACCGCACGGCCGCCGTCACAGCGGCGTCCCTCGGCGGCCAGGGTGCCGGGCGGCGAGCTGCAGCGGCTGGTGGACGTGGACGAGACGATCGCCGAGCCGGAGGCGCGCCGCATGCTGCGTCAGGTGCTCGAGGCGGTCGTCTTCCTCCATGACAGGAATATCGCCCATCTGGACCTCAAGGTAGCACTTGCTCGATGTGTGTGTACGTGTGTTGCAGGACTGGTTTGCATGCGCCAGCCGCGGAGTCCTGCTGAATTGCTCGTGTCCGTGCGGTGGCTTCGGCGGGACTTGACGTGCCGTCGGTTATAGCACTGACGTCAGGCACGTTGCCCACGTGTCTGATATGATGTTGGTGTGATCTAACCTGCGATATTCGACCAACCCCGAAACACCCTGCCGACACCGGCGTGACTGATGTACCACTAATGCTGTAAATCATCCTGCTGACTGACTGATGTGGCGCCAACACCCTAGAGAGTACCGACTGATATCTGCCATTTTGTCAGTCAGTTATTGGGTTTAAAGGTTGCTTCAACTACTTGTATTATTTTTGCTGGTTTAATCGGTGTGCCTGATGTGATGCTATCCATATAATTATTGACTGCCGTGCCTGCAGCCTCAGAACATCCTGTTGACGGGGCCGTTCCCCGGCTGTGACGTCAAGCTGTGCGACTTCGGCATCTCGCGTCTGATCGAGCCGGGCGTGGAGGTGCGCGAGGTGCTGGGCACGCCCGACTACGTGGCGCCCGAAGTGCTGCAGTACGAGCCCATCAGTCTGCTGACCGACATGTGGTGAGTGGGGGACGCCGGCCGCCGGCGCCACGTCACGTGACCGGTCGGGCGCCACGCCGGGCGCCGCGCCGGACGCCGCGCCAGCCGGTCCGATGCGAGCCGCGCCACGGCGGGCATCGGGCTCAGATGACCGCGTCATCGCCGGGCAGGGGCCCGGCAACAGGCCGATATAGTGGGGCGTTGTGTTGTGTGGTTTGACGGAGCGAGCGATCCCCGTCTGGTGTCCGTATCTACTGTGGTTTGTTGGCTACGAACGGTTTCGTTTCTTCTTGTTTGGTTGTGAAGTAGAATTATTTGATCATGCAGTTTGCACTGCAGGTGGTACAGGTATGCAATCAAAGATCTGTCAGCAGTGTGTATATGTATCACATGCTCGCAGTATGTACCAGATGGTCCGATGACAGTGTCGGCCAAGTGCATGTAAAAGTTCCGCATTAACGATAAGAAATCGCGCCTGTGCTTGCTGCTCTGTGCTACACCGGCCGCCACCATTCGTTTCCAGTTGTGATGCGCTGAGCCCCGTAAGATCACGCAAGGTGCATAATGTCGTAATTTGAGGGGGGCGTTAGGCCGCTGTTACGTTGTGTGTGCCCTGACGTCTGTGTGTGTGTGTGTGCGCGCTGGCGACCAGGTCAATCGGAGTGTTGGCGTACGTGCTGCTCTCCGGCCACTCGCCGTTCGGCGGCGACACCAAGCAGGAGACGTTCTGCAACATCGCTCAGGGCCAGCTGGACTTCCCCGAGGAGCTGTTCGCCGACACGTCGCAGGCGGCGCTCGACTTCATGACCGCCCTGTTGCTGGTCGAGCCCAGGTACGCTGCGACGATACTGCTTCGGCACTTGACTTAGCTGCGCTAGTGCCGTTGTAATGTGGTTCAGGTAGGCTGTACCGCAGCGGTTGGTATTGTAGCACCCATTCATGCATAATTTCGCTTCATGAAAACTCGGAAGCAGTTACTTTCATTTGGCTGCCAAGGACGGGCCTCCGTTAGTTGCGAGCGTTCGTTCACACAGTGTCGGTTGTCGTCCGTGCGGCGTGGCCGACGGCCGTCGGCCGTGTCGCCGATGGACAGCGTGGTCGCCGATGCCCCTGACGGCGGCCGCACGCGCTTCCAGTGAGCGTCTGTCAGCGCGCACCAGCCTGCAGCACGCCTGGCTGACGCCGCCGCCGAGCGCTCCGCCAGCGCCGGCGCCGGCGCCCCACCTGCACCAGGTCATCATCAAACGCTCCGGCCGCGACGGCGACCCGGCCTCCTTCCCCAGCAAGGTGCTAGGTGCTCGACAAGAACGTGATGTGCTGACGGCCGGGCCGCCGCCCGACACGCCCGCGTCTAGTCTGCACTGTGTCCGCGCAGCAGAGCCGCGCCGCCACCGGTCGGCGCTCCACGGCGGGCACTCCGCTGCTGCCGGCGCTGCTGCCGGCGCCGGCCGTCCTGGGCATGGCCGGTTGTGCCGCCGAGTCCGGCGGTAGAGGAGCGAGCCGCTGGCGGTGCCGCTCGACGTTGCGCCCCAGTCGGCGCCAGATCTGTATTATCTAGTTACGCACGGCCCCGGCCGCGTTTTGTCGGCCCCTGGCCGTGACATTCTCACTGTTAGTTTGCACGGATTTCTCCACGCTTGTGTTAGATTCAGGAGTATGTTGCAACTCAGATCGCGGGAGTTAGATAGCTGGCAGCCGACCAGCGAGTGCGTGATCAGCTGCCGGCGTGCCGAGGTGTAGGGTGTGTTTCGCTTCGCCGCCGCCGCCGGGCGTCCGGCACGTGGTTTGGCGTATCCGCCGCCAGCCTGCGGAGCTGGCGCTGCCGCCTGCCCGCGCGCCGCTCCAGCAGCGGCGGCGGCGGCCCGCGAGGCGGACGCCCCGACCCGGGTACGGCGGCGTACAAACTGAGACAATCGGAGCGCGCGCGCGCGCGCGCCGGACGCTCCGTCACCGTGTCGGGCTCTAGTCGGCGGTGGCGCGCCGCCGCCTCCCGTTCGCCATTCTGTGTACAAACGCGGCGCCAGGGTGGGCGTGTCCAGCACGGCCGGCGGACGCCCGTCTGCGGAATCGGCCCCGGCCCAACCCGGCCGCGTGCCAGGCCGTCGTTCGCTCAGTACTTTTGCGTTGGTTGTTTGCGTCGTGCATCAAGACTACAGTCGTTGACTGTAGGCCATTTTCGAAATGTCAGAACATTTATTCTCTCCAAGTCATGTGCGGTTTCAATTTGACGAGATGACGTCTTGGTTTAGCGAGGCGTGTTTGGTGGCACGAATGCAAGTGATAGGTTTTACGTTGAATGTTTTCGCACGTACTCAACGCGTACGTACTAGACCCTGTACTTCGCGCGGGGGACATTTTGAAAAGAAGGATGGTGTGTTTATTTCGGTAATGCGTTTCAGGGCGCGATATCACATGTCTGTATTCGTGAAAAGCGTGCACCGCGGTGTGCTTGTGTACGGACCAAATGCAGCGATCTGTGTGTCGACCAAAACCAAGTGCCGATGGTTGTCGCAGTGCCACCGCCCCCTCTCACAAGCTTCCCTCCGTAGTGCTCCACGCGTCCCATCGTGTAATGTGCAGACACCACCGATTTCGTGACGTCATGTATTTAGCCCGACCGCTCAAACGGGCCAGCTCGGCTGGCGTTATGTGGCGCCTCGAGTTTCCCCATTGTATTCCATTGGCAATGCCGGCTGATACGATCGTCTTTCCTGTCTCCGTTTTTTCACAATGCGCCAATTGTAGTGTTGACCCTGGCCTGGGTCTGCACTGTTGCGCGATGCTGCATTCCATACAGCCCAGGACCAAGACTGCTGCGCTCCGTGCTGGGCCTGTTTTCTACTTTTTTCTATTAAACTGCTGTTACAAATATAAATGAAATATGATCGCTGGTTTGAGGTGTGCCTAGATGGCCTTTCTTTAGTATCAGTGCTGGCTCAGCACTATCCGTTTAAAAAGCGTTCGCCGAGAACATACGGGGGAGTCAAAACTAAAAATCGGTGGTGGTCTCGGTTGTCCCTACGCGACCTCGGTTGTTGGGTAGTAGCGAAATGCCTTAGGACGCGTATAGCTGTGACTTCGTGTTGGCGGGCACACCAGACATGGGTGACATAGACCTTCATACTATTTGAGTAAGATGCCGCATTTTTTCCAAGGGTGTGACTGAAATGACAGACTGCATCTTGAATCAGAGGCCTTCTGATATTAGACATAATTCACCGAATACCCTCTACCCATGGCCCCGTGGGTAGAAGGTAGGCCAATACCCTCTACCCATGCACACCCGCCACTCATGCCCAGTCAGTGGTGTCCACCCGTTACCCGCTCGTTTGTATTTTTAGCACCAGATCTAAGTGACAGAAGAGTTTCTGTAAGGCTTAGTACTTTTTCTTCCGCGTTGATAATTGTGAAACAACGTAAATGGTGTCCAGTACGACAAAACGAAGCGGGGGCGGTGACATTGTTTAAACTTTCTTCAAGCAGCTGCCCGACATGTCAAAGTCTTTTCCATAACTGTAGCTATGGCCGTAAAATTTCCAACATCTGCGTCCAGCGTAACTCATTACACATTCCGTATGAGTACCCATGGACCTAACCCGTGAAGTCCTCTATCTTGAACTTTCCCGATGACATGCAATTTAGCATACGCGGCAGGCATCCTGACTTCTGAAGGCTCGATCTCAGATGAAATAATGCGTCGAACGGGGCGCTCTGGTGGAAACATACGCTTTCTCGCAAGACCGAATTTGAATATTTATAAGAGAGGTGTCGTGGGCTAATCACGTTTTTTCTTACGCGAGATTTGTTGACACTGATGTTTCGGAAATATCGTGTGGGCACAGTATGTCAAAGTTCATTTTTATGTCGAGGGTAATCCGTTGTTGCTAGTTCATCAAGAGACTAAAATAATCTAGGACTGTTCTGCACACGACCACGAACCAAATCTTCCGGCATGGATAGTGAGTAAAATGCTTTTTGATTTTTTCCGGGTTAAAACCACGCAAACTAGCCCGTGGCTGTATGGGCTTCGTAGGCACCATAACGCAAGCTTTCTCGCTCAACGCGATGTCGTTTGATTGTATTTCATTCTGGAACGCTCATTTTGTAATGACAAATTGTTTGCTGCTGCGAACGATGTCGCGACCATGCGTGCTCCGGCACGCGCATTCCGTGCGTGTCGCCCTCCAAAGCTGGAAGAGCGTTGGATGTGAACAGGACAGTCAGTCTTTCGGGCCACTGCCCACTTGGGCTGCGTAGTATTGAAAGTATTGTATTGAAAGTATTGAAATGCATGATTTTCACCCTCAATAACCTATACATTTTCTTCCAACACCAAACTTTGTGGTACAATTTCCATGCATTTCCACCCAATCCCTTTGTAAGGAATGCTGATTGTGCACCCGGTCTGCGCCGCCAATGCCAGGTGGTGAATTGGACAGATGGCTACCCGCCGGGACGAAAAGCAGTCCTCCCCTGCACAAACATTTTCCATGGTTTTTAATTGACATCGAAGCCAGTATAGCGCATTCTTCATAAGTGGAAGGATTGTCCAGGTCAAACAGGTTCAAAATCTTGTCCCAGATGTGTATTAGGTGACGGAATGATACGCAGTCTACTTCGTTCCGTATGTAGCCCTTTGCAACATACGCGAGGCAGCGAGGCAAGGCTCAGACAGGTCATTACATTTAGAGGCGTCGTCTTTTCCTTTACGTTCGGAGTAGGCGGCAAGGCTGCAAAGCTTTCACCTATTCTTGCCTTTCCTGCCCCGGCAGGTATTTCCTCAGGAGTTAGTAAAGGGTTGATTACGAAGTGGACAAGAGCTGCCATTATCCTAGTGAAGACGCAGCTGCCTTCATCGGTTCTCATCTTGCGTTCTGTAATGAATGCCCAATCGATTCCACCGATGCGTGCCTACTTTGACTTTAAGCGTCGTCTCTAGTACAGAAAAATGTAACTTGTTTAACCACTTGGTCCTCGCACCTCGAAGCCGGTAGGATACGCGATGCGGCATTAAAGAGCATGACTGTCCATCCCGAGACGTCAACTTCTATTACGACCATATTTACGCACTGACGGCTTAGTCAAAAGCAGAGATGATCCCAGATTCGGATGCAAGGATCTGGTGTAAATTCATGGGATTGTACAGACTACAGATAATATCAAAACGCCCAAATGAATAGGTGTAATTCGTAATAAAAGTACGTAATACGTCATACATGGGCATAGTGAAATAAAATAAAGAAATTGACGAATCAACGCAAGATACGACGGACGCAACACTGCAATCGGTGGTGCTGTCACCATTTTCCCATCGCAATCACAATCACAATCCATTCACTGCTTGGTTACCCACCAAACAGTGAATGAACCTTCCATCGGACCATAGGCAGCATTTTCCTGGACGCATGCAATGCCAATCACAAGGCTAGACCTCGGACCCCGTGGAGTCCCATGACATGATTGGATCTCGGATCGCGGGACTCACTTCTATGTCCAGCCGTGCTGCCCGTCTCCCCCGGCCTGCCGGTTACATCAGCTTCCGGGTCTAGACCGCTGGACAACCGACCGTCCGCCGGCTGCAGGCTGCAGAGCCGCACCGCGCTCACGGCGGCGGCGACGTCACTCAGTTCACGACTAGCCCACATGCAATACACTCTTTTTCGAGGATGTAGTTCCCTATTCAGTTGGAGGAGGGGGAAGCTGGAGTCCCCCAACTTGGACTCCGGCCCTTCAAGTTTGATTCGGAAGGTGGGCCTAATCTGAGGAAAAATCTAGTTGTTGGCATATTTTCGGGGTACGTTGAGTCATTTTTCACTCTTCAGCCCCATCCGAGCTCGTTTTGTGAAATTACACCACTGCTCTTGTTCGTTGCGGGCTGCTAACATCATTAAAGCTGCAAGACTACTCGTAGAGCATGCAGCATGCAACATTGAGATGAGAGTTTTATAAGGCTCCGACGCGATCGCGATTTCAATTCACGAGCGAAAGAGAACGCAGCGCTGGAAGTAGCTCCTCGTCGTCAAACATCGCACAGACCATCTCGCCAATGGCCAACGCCCAGTCAGAGAACGAGCGCTGTTCCTAGATGACTGGAACATCAAAAAATCAAACGAATGGAAGCTGCAAGCTAGTGTTGCAATATGTTCTGAGCTGAATGGACTTGAGTGGAGCTGATTAGACCATGTCCGTGGCATCACCGCGGTGACAAACGCTGTAAGGGACGATTGTAACGCTTGTGGACAATGTTCGCCGGCCGGCAGACCAGCGTGCTCTTGAACGAGACTGTGAGCCCGAGTGCGACGCAAGTCTCTGGCTGTCCGCAGATGCCATATACCATTTCATGGACTGTGACGGCTCCCGAGACTGGACCGCCAAAGCCGTACCCGGACATCTCGCAGATAGCCGACTTCTCCGCGTCCCAGCAGCCCCAGCACGACGCGCCCGAGCCGCGAGTCAAGAAGTTCTACCCGGGCGTGCTCGACTCCAAGTACATGCAGGCGGTGGTGCGCGGCGGGCGGGAGGGCCTGCTCCAGTTCAAGGAGAACCCCCGACCCGGCTACCCGGTGCCCTACCCCTGGCCCGAGTGGTTTGACCACGAGACCGGTTCTCCCGCAGGCAAGAGGCGGCACGGAAACAAGGGCTACCCGAAAGGCTGCACGAGCGGGCAGCCGGCGCCGGTGCCGAACTGCACGGCACCGCCGGACGCGCACAGCCGCGTGCCGTCCATGTACGACCCGCCGCAGTACGCCGCCGCCGCCGCCGCCGCCGCCGCCGCGCCCTGCCCGTCGGACGGGCCGCCGGCCGGTTGGCAGCAGGCCGAGATGCGCGGCTGCGACCAGCCGGTGATGGTGCAGTGCCCGCCGCCGGTCGCCGAGCGCTGCCCCACGCCGCCGCAGCAGCCGCCGCCGTTCGTGCGCGCCGCCAACGAGGATCTGTGCATCCAGTGCAGCGCGGCGCCCGAGGTGTACGCCGACCCGAGCAACCCGCGAGCAGACTGTACGCCGCGGCGTCCGGCGCCGGCGCCCTCCAGGCCGCCGCACCAGGCGCGGCCGCACCCCGTGCCGCACAGCACCGACAAAAACTTCGTGCCATCGTACCTGCATGTGAGTGCCCCCTCCTCTCTCTCTCTCTCTCTCTCTCTCTCTCTCTCTCTCTCTCTCTCTCTCTCTCTCTCTCTCTCTCTCTCTCTCTCTCTCTCTCTCTCTCTCTCTCTCTCTCTCTCTCTCTCTCTCTCTCTCTCTCTCTCTCTCTCTCTCTCTCTCTCTCCTTCTCTCTCTCCGCTGCACCGGATACTGAGGAATCAGTGAATAAGCCCTCCCCTAATGACAGTTGGAGAGGTGGTGGCGGTTACCTAGAGCTTTGATGAACTACTGCAGCCATGTTTATCCGTCATGGTGTTAGCGGGACTTTCAAAGCGGATCCCGGGATCTGGGATCACGTCAGGGCAACATTCTGTCTTTCATGCAAGTCACATGAGCATTCCACTAGCACGCACCCTGTGGTACTATGTGGCAAACCAATGGAAACTGAGACGATCAAGACTGACAAATTTCCCCGTTGAATGATCTCACCGCATTCTCTCCCCGTGCGGCAGGAGCCAGAAAACATGGCCAAGATCATCGCGCACGACTACCAGCGTCAGTGGATCGACGAGCGCGACACGTGGGAAGACTCGCACGCCACCTCTAACGACCACCAGCGCATGCGCATGCTGAACCGATGCAGCGAAACGGAGAACAAGTAGGTACGCATGTCGCCGTCGCCCTGCGGTTGTTACCTCACCTGCCTTGATTCAGACAGCCATTAATCACGAGAGAGAGAGAGAGAGAGAGAGAGAGAGAGAGAGAGAGAGAGAGAGAGAGAGAGAGAGAGAGAGAGAGAGAGAGAGAGAGAGAGAGAGAGAGAGAGAGAGAGAGAGAGGCGATTTGGATGTTAAAGGTGGAAACAGCTGAATACCTGGAGTGCGTGCGTGTGTGTGTGTGTTGTGTGTGTGTGTGTGTGTGTGGTGTGTGTGTGTGTGTGGGTGTGTGTGTGTGCGTGTGTGTGTGCGTGAGTGCGTGCGTGTGTGTGGTGTGGTGTGTGTGTGTGTGTGTGTGTGTGTGTGTGTGTGTGTGTGTGGTGTGTGTGTGGTGTGTGGTGTGTGTGTGGGTGTGTGTGTGGTGTGTGTGTGTGTGTGTGTGTGGTGTGGTGTGTGTGTGCATGCGTCATTGGGACTTTACGAACGTGCTCACCTGCTGGGGTTACGGCGTCGCCTATCTCTCACCCCGGCGCAGAACGCGGCGGCACCGCGGGGAATCGAACCCCGTACATCTGGTTTCTCAGACACGCAGTGGCTAACACAGATGGATACCCATACTAGCACTGTCAGGTCAGCATTGTTTGGAACTCATTACACATAAAAGGAGTGCAACTACCCCCCCCCCCCCTCCTCGATGTCCTCAAGGTAGTTGTATCTAAAATTCCGAAGACACAGCAACTATCAAAAGATCACGAAAATGTGCGCGCTCTATGCACTGAGCGCTTTACGATTGAGTACCGAGCAATGCGGTGCCAGTGTCGTCAAGGGAGATAGTTTAGATAGCAGTTTAAAAAATACGGTATTATGGACTTGCTTTCAATCCACTGACTCATGTAAGCGTCGTCGAAAACAAAGCAGCAACAGAATCGCCGAAGTCTAAAGTTTACAGGCATAACAGGGCGTGAAACGGAGCGAGCGGGCGGCAAAAGTCGTAGTTGTCGTAGCCGTAGTTGTAAAGCATGTGCACCCCGTAAGCTTGACTGCAGTCCTGAGTGAGCCAAACGGCAGGGCACACATAGTGCCTTGAAGCTACGAATGACGATCGGTATCACGCCACGTCAATAGAGGCGGTACTCCAAGGGTGTACATGACGCACGGACAAATCATACCGATGTGCGCCGCTCAGTAACCTAAAAAAGTGAAATCCCAGCTGGGGAACAAGTGAAGCGTATCCTAGTGTCTTAATCGACTGGTAGATGAACATCGGTCACCGATTACAGGTTCGTCGAGCACCAGAAATGCGCGCGCGCAGCTAAGGCAGAAATGGCAGAGGGACGGATACCCGACTGCAAGAAACGGTGAGCTCTGGACCGACTGTTCCTTCGACCAGGGCTGAGTTTGAGCCACAAAGGTAGACACATACGCTCTACTTAATCGCACCGCATAGGTAGTTTCCGCGAAGGATGAAGTTTTATGGACTTGTTCTATTCATAAACGATTTACAGACCGAAGCCTGAATCCCATTACACCTTTTTCTGGTTCGTGTGCGTACGTGGTGCCATTGAAAGGCGCGCGCAACCGCAGTTCTGTGTAACGAAACAAATTCCGTCGGCGTTGCATTCTTCCCAGTCGTAAAATCCCCATGGCAGTTGCGCAAGGCTTGAATAGGGCCGAACTATCATCGATGTCGTTCCCGGAGCTGGTGTTTGCACTGAGGCGAGCCACACGGCCAGCAGGTCCGGACTCGTGAGTCAGGAGCGCGGCCCCTGACCCACCCTCCCGGCTGTAGCTTCCCGACCCCTGAGTCGGCATGACGCAGCAGGCGGCGCGCGACCATGACTCAGCCACGCGGGCGCGACGACTCAGGCCAGGGGTAGCGGGCTGCCTTCGGCCCGCAGCTGGAGAGCGTGACCCATGGACGGGAGCGTCGTACACGTAGGTGACCTAGCGAACGCTCCTGTCCGCAGATCGACCACGCAGCGGCCCTGGTACCCGCCCGGCAAGGTTTGTGTGGTTCGAAGACGCTGCGGCTGCTGAACGATCGCCCCGCCCGCCCACAGGAAAATTCCAGCCGTAGTTTGTGGTGACATGCGTGAGTGTAAATTAACTTTGTCTGAGTTCGTGACAGGAGCAACAAATCAGCAGGTTAACATCACTTCCGGTCCAAGTTGTTTGTAATGAAATCCGCTTGTGTTGTTCAACGTAGTGTGTATTTCTTCTTCAATACATAAGACACTTTCCCCGACAGCTTCCGGGTAAACATCCTCCCGATCTCATTGGTTGTGCCCTCGGTATCGTCGCGCAAATCGGGCCAAAGCGAAACGAGACGGCCTCACCTTCGCGACATCGCCAACTGGTGACCGTAATTCGGACCGGTCCAAACGACGAGCATGCGATGCATATGACCAAAGCCTGAGTACACAGAGAGCCGACGCCGAAGTCGGAGCTGGTGACCGCGCCCGCCGCCCGTTGCCGCACACCGCGCACGCGTCGCCGTCACCAAACATGGCCGGGCGTGGCTGCAAGGCGAGCCGCCGCCACCGGCCGAGGCGCGGCCGCGGCGCCAGCGAAGCTCGCCGCCTCTGCAGGCCCGGCTCTGCGGCTCACGCACGGCACCAGCAAATACAGACATGGCGACGCTAGCCAGCTTTCGGGCATATCACAGCGCAGAGTCGGTCGAAGGCATGCAGACCGGACCGCGAACGAGATGCTAACTCAGTGAGACAGGCGCTCGGGGCGGGCCACGGGCGGCACCTGACGCACGGCACCGGACAGCAGCGGCCACCGTCCCCAACAATGATGGGTGAAGGCATGTATCCGAGTGGGGGCGCAACAATCATTTTATGCCGATTCCTTGCATGCGACCTCGTAGGGTAATTGTTCCACCCTCTGAAAGTGGGGTACCATGGCACTCATGCACGTACATGCGCATGCAGTTTCCTACGCCTATGCCGACAGTAATCTGCAAGATTCTCGCATGAAGACCAGGAAGTACAAGCATATATAAAACATACAGATATAGGTAACATACAACAGATATAGGTGCTAAACGACTGCACTGCATATGGCCATACGTATACATGGCAAGCACAAGTGCTGAGTGCAATTTCGATAAGACACGGAACGTGTTCACCTTAAAGTAGGTCATGTTGTACGTTTTGTTTATAAAACCCGCTACAGGCGATTGTGACACACAAAATGTCATGATTCGCTCAGAAATACAACCGCTGGGACATTTCCGGCCCAAAAGGGCAGCCAGACGAAGGCAAGCGTGATTGCCCCATTTGGAGGCCACCACAAACCCCTACAGTGAAAGTGCGGGATTAGTCACCAGTCTTTGAAAGTACATCCGAATCAGCCAAAGCCCCATCCCTCAAACGATATAATTTTGATTAAATTTACGATAAAAAAACATTGGCGTAAGTTGCACACAGCCCTATCTCACTCCATATGCCACTTGAATCAACCAATCGACCGACTGCCAACTACAAAACAGATGAATGAAGCTTGAAATACCATGACCAACTTCCTCTAGAACCAAGGATAGGCTTTGAGACTGCTTATTGGCGAGATAAAACGGTCATTTTAAACGGAAACCCGGCACGGAGCTCTTAACGGTAAGTTCTTGATAACTCGTGTCACAGCTCCAACCAGACACGACCTACATGGACACGTCGGAAGACATAAACTTCCGCGGTGGCGCTCTCCCTCAAGGCTAGTGGGCTAACATATCCTTCAAGGCCTCCGTGGATAAAGCGTAGCAAAACACTACGGCTAGGCACTGAAGAACCCACAGCCTGCCGTTGTAAAGCCAATATTGTCAGTACAGGCTCGTAAAGCATGCGTGACCAGGTACATACTCGTATGCAACGCGCGGCACAACGTAACTCAACGGCGACAGCTCGACAAACGGGCTGGAGAAGTCAGCACACGTGCCGGCTAAATGTCTGCCTGGCACGCAGCAGATAACGGAAGCGACGCCCCGGCGGCGGCAGCTGGTCTGTCGCACCACGGGGCGGTCGCCGCACGGCGCCGGCGCCCGATCAGCGGCGGACAGCGTCTGGGCTTGAGCCGGCGTCGCTGCTGACGCAGCGCGCCGTCGCCATCGCTCTTGCGCCGCGCTCGGCCCCCCCCCCCCCACCGGTGCACACCGCTCAACAGTGCTGCGGCCGGGGCGCGGCGCGAGCGCCGCTGCCTCCCCCGGCCGCAGGTGCGCCTCACGAGGTGGCGCCAGCCGGCCGAGAGCTGGCCGGCGCCGACGGCCGACGCGGGCTCTGCGGCACGTCGTACGTGTCGCCGTCGCGGCCGGTCGCCCTCACTGGCACCGCGTACGTCTCGGAGAGGGCGGCCAGCGCCTCGGCCGGCGGCCAGCCAGCCAGGTGTGAGTAGGGTCCCAGCGGTCCCCCACCCACCAGCGAGTACGGCGCCAGAGGCGGAGGCCGCGGCGCAAGCGAACTGTCCGGCGGCGGCGCCTCCTCCGGCGCCGAGCGAGCGGCGTCGGCCGGTCGGCGCAGCACGGCCGCCTCCTCCTCCGACAGCGGCGCCGGCTCGTCCTCCGCCGGCGGCTCCGCGGCTACCGGCGCCGGCGGCTGCACGTTGTGGGAACGCGGCGCGTCGTACAGCTCATCGGCGGGCGACGGCGGCGGCCGCGGCGACCGCGTCGGCTTGGGCGGCAGCGGCGGCGAGAGGGCGGCACCGGGCGACACCGGCACCGAGCGCGCCGCCGACAGCACGTCGTAAATGTCGGAGGCCGACGGCCGGGCAGCCGACTCCAGCTCTGGCTCCACCTCCTCAGCCGGTGGCGACGGCGGCGCGGCAGTCAGCGTCACCACCTGGGCGGCGGGGGCAAACACCGGCGCGTCAACGCAGCGCAGACACCACCGCCACACAGACACGGCAGACACCGATGCGTCAGCGCAGCGCAGACATCACCGCCACGCAGACAAGGCAGGCACCGACGCGTCAGCGCAGTGCAGACATCACCGCCACGCAGACAAGGCAGACACCGGCGCGTCAGCGCAGTGCAGACATCACTGCCGCGCAGACACGGCAGACACCGGTGCGTCAGCGCAGCGCAGACATCACCACCACGCAGACACCAGAGCGTCAGCGCAGCGCAGACATCGCCGCCACGTAGACACGGCAGACACCGGCGCTCAGACGTACGCTTCATTCACCGACATTCGCAGGAGTGATTAACTCGCATGACAATACAACAGATGGCCAGAAATCTTGCCAGCTGAAAAAAACATGTCGCATAGGGTCCGAACTGTACAAATATCACAGTTATATTCTACCATCAACGATGTTCAGAGATGTTTATCACGAACGTAACAGCTACGGATGAATTATACATTCTTCAATGGTTTTGCCATCGCCGAGATAAACAAAACACCATTGAACTCCAACACGTGAAACGGCCTGACCTCTCGAGCGTGGCCCGGCCGATGATCCGACCCCAGAACTCAAGAGGTGGCCAGAATGGAACATGTATACCGAGCTCAGGGGTGGCCAGATCGGGACCAGCCCGGAGAAATCAGATCTGACACGTATTACGACCTCAGGGGTGGCCAGTTAGAGCGCAGAGACCGGCCTGGGGAAGTCAGATCCGACACGCGCGCTCACCTGAGGGGTGGCCAGGTCCGACAGGTTGCGATACTCGTTGTCGCTGTCGAAGAACTTGTGCAGGGCACAGAAGCTGGGCCGCTCCTTGGCGTCGTACGCCCAGCACTTCAACATCACCTCGTAGATGCCGCCCGGGCAGTACTCGGGCTTCTCCAGACGCTGGCCAAGCTCCACGATCTCGAGGAACGCCTGCAGCCCGGCGCGAGACAGGAGAGGTCACGGCCAGACGACACGAGATAAGGGTGGCGGCAATCAGTTGTCACACAAGACCACGCAGAGGACACGAGGCATTATGACGGCACGGACAGCAGGGACGGCGGCCACACACTGCTGGATCAGTCGCACCAAGGATTGATGTGTGCAGTTGACAATTGCTATCCGATTATGGGACAGCCACCGCTACTATGTAGAACTTTCCGCATTCCAGGTAACATTAGTGACAGCTCCAACACTGGGGTAACTGCATTACTAGTGCTTAGATGCGCTCAGTGATACGCGACGGCCACCATGACAGCAATCTGGGCCTGTAACTGGCCTCAGCTGGACCCAAGGCCGGTGACTGCCCCCACCTGAACCCCAGACTAATGACCACCCTCACCTGGACCCCAGACCAGTGACCACCCTCACCTGTACACCAGACCAGTGACCACCCTCACCTGTACACCAGACCAGTGACCACCCTCACCTGGACCCCAGACCGGTGACCACCCCCACCTGAACCCCAGACTAGTGACAACCCTCAACTGGACCCCAGGCCAGTGACCACCCTCACCTGGACCCCAGAACAGTGACAACCCTCAACTGGACCCCGAACAGTGACCATCCTCACCTGGACCCCAGAACAGTGACCACCCTCATCTGGACCCCAGACCAGTGACCGCCCCACCTGAACCCCAGACCAGTGACCACCCTCACCTGTACACCAGACCAGTGACCACCCTCACCTGTACACCAGACCAGTGACCACCCTCACCTGTACACCAGGCAGGTCGCCGTACGGCTGCTCGCCGTATGAGTACATCTCCCAGAGCAGGACACCGAAGCTCCAGACGTCGCTGGCGGCGCTGAAGGTGCCGAAGTTGATGGCCTCCGGGGCGTACCTGGCCAGAGGGTCGGGCAGGTCACACCGAGCCGACACAGAGCGACACCGCTTCGGTCCCAGCGGTGCTCCGCTCCCAGCCAAGTCAACGACACGAACATGACGGACTTGCATGCCTACTGGGTGCTTGTTAAACGTATCACAACATTCAGAAAGCTGACAGGTGTGCGATATACGAACCAGACAAGGCGAGAGCGTAATTTCACGACTGTAAGAAATGACACCGAACTGAAAATCGGCTGACACGTCAATAAATATGTCAGAATGTGACATCAAGACATGGACCTCATGGCACGCAGGATTTCCCCGGTGGGCCGGGCGGCCGACATCCCCGCGCCTGCGCCTGCCGCAGCCCGACCCCCGAGTCAGCCCGCACCAGCTGTCAGCTGCACCCGCCCCACACGAGCCTGAGGGCCGCCCCGGTGGGCCGGGCAGTCGACATCCCAGCGCCTGCGTCTGCCGCAGCACGACGCCGCCGCCCACGCACCACTTGATGGGCCAGCGCCCGCCCTGGGACGACTGGTAGTAGTCGCGGTCGCCGGCTAGGTGGCGCGAGAAGCCGAAGTCGCTGATCTTGGCCTGCGTGCGCGACGCCAGCAGGATGTTGCGTGCCGCCAGGTCGCGGTGTACCAGCCGCTGGTGCTCCAGGTAGTCCATGCCTGCCGGCGGCGCGCGCGGCGGCCGTCACCAGCGGGCGGCTGGCGCGGCGTCACCAGCCGCCTCCAGCCGGTGAGGTAGCGGGCGGGGTCAGCGACGCCCCGCATGATGGACGCTACACCGATGTGCCTCGCGTTCCGAACAGCGAAACACGACCACAACATGACAGCGAGATAGGACGCTCCAGTGGCATGCAGCTTCATTACATCGGTCTTTGAGAACATACCTAGTAATATCGACCCCCACTGATATGCTGTTTTACTTTTTGTCAGGGCAGGCACACTTTTCGGATAAAAAAATGCTCATAGCAGGTTCCAACCGTAAGGCCTTAAAATTCCGAACATTCCCCAGTTTAAAACTATTGCTATATTGTGATCACCACGCTCCCTATTTATTCAAAAGCCGGCAAAACCACAGTGACACACACACAAACCACAGTACAGCATTACCAACATATGCGACAATTTCGCACAATTGGTACAGTTATGTGTCTGAAACCCTGAACCTGTTCCCTGAGACCACGCCGCGCATGCTCGCTGGTGAATGGGACAGACCTGCGGCCACCTGGCCGGCCCACAGCTTCAGGTCCGTGTCGAGCGAGACGTCATGCGGCTGGTCCTGCAGGAAGTCCAGCAGCGCGCCCAGTGGGTACGAGCTCCTGCACCTGCCGAACCACCGCCGGCCGCGCCACGGTTGTCACAAGGTGACATTGTACGGGAGTGTAACACGACTGGATGTATCAAATCACACGTTTTACGACAAACGCATTCAAACCTCCATTGAGAACGTACGGTCCGCTTTCAGCACGGCTAGACCTATCTATGCTACACTGTGATTGTGAAATATTGACACCCAATATGCGTTTGTGTGTGTCGCTTTACGACGCTCTCAGCTGCTGAAACTATATCATGCCACCTGCCTCACACCCTCGCAGAAAAGGCGGGCGCCGCGGGGGAACAGAACCCCGTACCTCTAGTTTCCCAGACACGCAGGTTAACGGCTACATTATAGCCACCATCATCTCAGTTTGTGAGCACAGAAAACATCAATGACGGCCCATGAGCCTATTTCAACTATGACTACGTAACATGTCGCTGATTATCCTCAAATACCACTTCACACGCACACTCCTGACTTGTTTCAGGGATAGCTAAACATCGTGCATTTGTTGCGGCGTAATCTCTTCGAAAACGGCCCTGGCTTGCCAAGCAACTACCCTGAAGCCGTCTTCGTGGGAACGCGTGTGTCTCGCACACAGCTGACCGCCAAGACGGCCCCCGAGCCCTCACCATCATCAGCGGCTCGTGCTCGATCAGGCCGAGGAAGCGGACAATGCAGGGGTGGCGCAGGTCCTTCATCAGCTCAGCCTCCCGGATCAGCTGGTCACGGTCCACCCCCGACGACGCCTCCAGGTGCGTCTTGATCGCCACGTCCACCTGCCGGTCACCGAGCGCGGTCAGCAGTCGCTTCACATCCTGACTCTTGTTCTGGCACAGCAACGTGAGTGGGGGTGGGGGGTGGGGGTTAGGGGCCGGGTTGGTTGTCAGCCACCCAAGGGGAACTTAACTGAAAAGAAGGAAAGTTACCGTCTCTGGTCCGTCTGGTCCGAGGGCTCAGTACTCACGCGGTTCCCCGCGTGTCAAGCCAGCTTCCCTGGTCCGTCTGATCAGGGACTCGATACTAGCGTGGTTTCCCCGCAGGTCGAGCCAGCGCCCCTGGTCCGTCTGGTCAGGGGCTCGATACTCACGTGGTTCCCCCGCGGGTAGAGCCAACGTCCCTGGTCCGTCCGGTCTGGGGGCTCAGTACTCATGTGGTTCCACCGCGATCGAGCTAACGCCCCTGGTCCGTCTGGTCAGGGGCTCGGTACTCACGTGGTTCCCCCGCGGGTCGAGCCAGCGCCCCTGATCCATCCGGTCTGGAGGCTCAGTACTCACGTGGCTCCCCCGCGGGTCGAGCCAGCGTCCCTGATCCACCTGGTCTGGAGGCTCGGTACTCACGTGGTTCCCCCGCGGGTCGAGCCAGCGCCCCTGGTAGACCTTGCCGAACTCGCCGCGTACTCACGTGGTTCCCCCGCGGGTCGAGCCAGCGCCCCTGGTAGACCTTGCGAACTCGCCGCGCACTCAC